AAATGTTACTCGTTTCGCATTTTCGACCCACAAGCCCCGCGAGAGTTAGATTGTACGGAACGAGAGACTTTTAATTTGTTAAATAGTCTACGGTAACAGTGCGAATTATTTATCGCGCGTTTCGCAATTTCTATATTCGAGTACTTGCGCACGATGACTGGTCAGAACAGGAGTATCTGCGCGGAGAGAATTTTCTCGTGAAATTTATCCTGAAAATCGTGCGATCGCGGGACGACGCGGCATCTCGAAGAACTTTATGAGAATTCTTTTTAATCGCAACATACATTTCACTAGTAATATACTTATTTCTACTTGTTTAACTATACTTAGTACATTTTACTACGCTGACCAAAAAATTCTTTTAACTAAGTAAATAGATTTACTTAACATTATTTTCTTTACTCAAGTAAATCCCATGTATTATATTAAGTAAGTTAATTTAAATCAGTACATTGTCTGCATTCAAATAAAGAGATAAAGAGATTCGCGAGATACAGAGTACTATTTGTTAAATGAAGTAATTGTTTTTGTTAAAGAAGAAATCCAATTTTCTTCGCTGTGAAAGTTACATCTTGGTAAACATTTTATAGAATTAAATTGAAATTTTTTTAATTAAAAATCATCTACCCTTTGATATTTAATAAATACTTAAATTAAAGAAATGCACGTTTCAATTTGTTTGTCATTTTCTAAAAAGTTAATAAGCTATTAGGAGCCACCTAATAAACAATTTTAATGAGCGAAGTAATATTTTTGTGGATTAAGATATTTCTATAGTAAAACACTACTAGAACTACTAAGTATAATTACTAGTGAAGTGTATGATCAAATTTCAAAATCGAAATGCCGTGTCGTCCCAGGATTACATAACTCACGGGATAATTTTAAACGCGAGCTCTCACCGCGTGTAAGGCTCTCCGACGATATCCATAATGCGACAGTTTAAGGACCTTAAGTTGCAGAAGAGAAATGTATATTTAAAAAAGATGACATCCTGATGGCGATACAATTGATATCTCGCAGCTCCGTGTTATCTAAAATTAAATCTCCGCCACGTTGGACGAGGAAAAAGAGAACCGCGAGACTCTCGTTATTATCTAACGTCGTTGAAACTTTTATCCGATCCTGATCTACCATTACGCTATTACGTTCGCCGATTCGAATACGCTTATCCCGAGCTCCGGCGGCTCTTTTTCCTCCCTTTGTAACGAAGCGAGCGCGTACGCGGGTCGTTTCGTGCGGCCAAGTAACCAGGTTGCTTTGATTGAAGCGAGCGCGTAATCAGTGCGTCTCCACTGATTGCGCGAGATTTTCCGTGGCGAGCCCCACGTAATGTCTCGTAATTAGCGTGTTATGTACCTTGTGTGTATCGAGTGTATCTCGCGACGGATTAGCAATCAACGACCGCGCGACTTTCAAGAATACGTGATTCGACTCGCTCACGTACGTTCGCGTCCACGCGCTTTTTTCTTTCCTAGGCGCATGTAACCAATTTTGGGGACAAATTGCCCATTGGTTCTTGCTGCGCTCAACCGCGATGATTTGCATGTTTGAAGGTTCGGGGCAAATGTCCGACCGGTCGCGAGCGCGCGCACCCACGGGAATGTTACACCTGGTATTCCTGCATCATATGATCGCAACGGTGTCGATATGATTTCTCAGTACGCAGCGCTACCTGCCTGTACATTGACCCTTTTGGCTTTGTATAATTCGCTCGCGATACCGCACGCGTGCTTCTTATCACGCAATTCATGCCAGTGCACTTGTAACATGAACTCGCGATCTTACGGAAATTATTTTTTCTTTCTCTTGTATGCGCAATTGTCCGAAATTAGGATTAGTCCTTCTCCGTAATTAGCCCTTTCTGTTCGTATTTCTTTCACGACGAAAACCCCGAATCGACCCCACGGCTTGATTCGTCTATTTAAATAGATCGACCGTTCAACGTAAGTCGTCATTTCCGGACGAGAATCGACACTCCGAAAGGGTTAATAATGTATGTATCGCCGTTAAACCAGTGTAATTGTTTCGACGCGATGAAACCGACGCTGCGATTGTATATTATAGCCGGGGGAAAAAGTGGAAAGAGCCGAGGCGCCGTAGTTGATTTTATACAATCTGCAGGCGCACAGATTGGTCAGGCGAATTAACTTCTTGTAATCGTAATTTTGTATCACAGCGAGTTCGCGCGACGCGCGAGCAGAATCGACGGGAATGCTGAAACGTCAGTTCCGATGCATTCTCGTCGCGAGCACAATGGTGACAGGAAACCGGGCTTTTAGCTGTTAGCGTGCTCTCGAGAGACGGTTGCGTCAAACAGAATTTCATCTCGCCGAGCTCCGCGCATCGAGCGACGCTCGCGAACACGCGCCAGCCTTCGCGGGTGGGCAGCAGCACGTCCCCCGCGAGCCAGTCTCCCTGTGAAAAGCGGTATCTCCCGCGATAAGAAGGGAAAAAAAACCTGCGCGACGGTTTGTCTCTGAAAGCTGTACCTCTCGCGAGCGTCCTCGCTGTCCCGGGATCGTATATATAATTTACCGCGCGCGCCCTTGTCACCGGCCGGTTTCTCGAGCGTCGCGAGACGGATCCGCGCTGCTGACGCAGCTGCTGACGAGGCGACACGGCAACCCCCAGCGGTTCCCGGGCGGAGGATTGTCGTTGCGAATGAATCGCAATGTTCCCGATTCGATCGCGACCGGGAAAAGGGCGGCGTGTTTTACGTGTGGGAACGAACGAAAGGTCTGAAGGCCCTAACGCACGGAAACTGCTTAAGCAGTAAAACCATAGTGTAACTAGGATGTCCGCCCTTTGTCGGCCCTTTGATCCTTTCGGTGCCGATCACGCGATTCCGCCGTGTCTGGTCCAAATCCAGCGGCGTGTGTGTACAGTGGTGGACAGAATGCCCTGGCGGAAAACATTTCTATAAACAACTACAAACAGTTGACTTGAAATAGAAATTTGTAGACATTTTTATATCTTCGTTGAAACGTTCATTTGTTTGTACAAATATCTACGAAGTGCTACCACAAATTACAATGTTCCCAAATCGAGAGATTATTGCAAGTAGTGTTTCATGAAAATGTACAATTTTGTGAAAATTAGTACGAAACTTTGCTAGTTTCAAAAATTTGAGAAACAAAATCGGAAAGAATTAAAACAACCTCTT